GATGAGTAAGCGTATAAGAAGAGAGCATGTGACGTCCAGAGGACGCTGACTGAGCGATGAGTAACGCTGAGTAAGGGAGCATAATCGACATAAGGTCAGATAGTCCATGGCTGAGTAATGCGAGTAATCCGGACGCTGTCTAGAATAGTCCGGAACATCGTAGAACGTACCAGAATCATGTGGAGGGATGGCAGGATGCCAAGTAAGTACAGAACAAAAGAATGTACGTATATGGTAAGTAGGAAAGTCCATGCTGGCGTATGGTAGACGCACAGCCACTATCACTGCCACTCCCGGTCCGGCACAGCCGTAGACACAGAAGTTCAACATGAAGTAAGTTGTTACATTAACAGATGTATGCACGATGCTGACTGCTACACCGCAATATCACGTACCTAAACTTCGCAGATCACAGTCTCAACCACCGGAAGGATCACTGAAATCGGAATTTGTCCATAGACATGCAACATGGTTACTTGGCTATGCACTACACATCTTTCAGAAACTGCGGTCTGCGCTCTCTTGCCTTTCATCGGAACCCAACACGAGACCGGTCCATACCAGGGGCTTCTCAGCGGCTGCAGTAAACTTTATGTAGCCTATTGTTAGCGACTCCGTAGAGCACGCGGATGCGAAGCGGCACTCACGTAGACCATGTCGTCTAAGGCGCCATGTGCCTCGACAGCAACGAGTACGGGCTGGTGGTTCGCAGCCACACTCGTCGACGCGATGCGGTAGAAACCAGGGGGAAGACCGCCGGTCACAGTGGCACTCAGGACGCCGTTGACCGCTGGATCTGATAGAGACTTGAAGAACACAGATCGGTCGGGATCTGTGAGTGAGACCTGGTCGAGCGACGCGAGACTCTCGATGACGACCTGCACGTGGCCCTGGACATCGCCCACGCCGTTGACGACTTGCGGTGCGGCCAAGAACGTCGAGCGCACGTTTGTCATATGGCCTGTCTCCAGATTTCTGACCGCAAGCTGGATGGTAACGTCGGCGTTGGCGGTGACCGTGGCGTTGGGTTGAGGGAAGATGAATTTCGTGGAAGGCATGTTGGCGGTGGACGCGATTATGCCCATCGGCGCGGGGTTACACGAGCCCGTCAGGACCTGTCTGCCGTTTGTGATCTGCAAGTCGGGCCTTGTCGCACAGAAGTTGATGAAGTTGTTCGTCGACGTGAGCGAGGATACCTGGCCAGCAGTCGGCTGGTCTTGACCGTCGTTCGCAAATCCGGTGGAAATAACGGACTGAACGATAGCTAAATGCACGGGGAGAAGTGTATCAGAGGATGAGCAGTGTCATGTATAGTTGAAATCTTACTCAGGCTCGATTGTGGGTCGTTGTCATCATCGAGCGCGTATGCCAAGAGCTTTGTGCTCACGAGAGCGTCGCTAGAAGGGGCAGGGGTAGAAGTGTGGGTCTGGTGTGCACTCCTGACATCCTGCAAGGTATGCGAGTGAGATTTTCTGACAAAAAGTGAGGGGAATTTCGCGGCTTTACCGACTGCGGGCTCGTCTGCACGAAGACCGGCGTGATCAGGAGGAAAGCGGCCGAAGAGATCAGAGGCTTCATGGCTGTAGGTCGTAGCTTACGAGGTTTAAGATGGGTCACAAGTGCTAGGCTGGTTTAAAGGTCTGCAAAGAGCCGATCTTGGTCTGTCTCGGGGAAATGTTGGCCTCCGATCGAGCGAGAAGCCAGATCTGGTTGCGATGTCCATACAACTGCTCCATGGCCGGATGGCGTTGCATCATAATCGGTGGGCTCTGTTGACATATTGGCTGTCGCGCTATATCGCTGGTGGCTGGGCTGATAGCATGTCGTACAGTACCAACCGCAGTACCACTGGCAGTGGCTTCCGACGGTTGTCTCGAGCTCGTACGTCCGACGAGTCGCATGCAGTGAGTACACTGGTACGGCGCACGCCGCCATCCTGATCTAAATTACCCAGCAGATGAAGCAATCCAGGTCAAGAGTAAGCGTAGGAGGGTGCCTCAGGGAATGAGAGAGAAGAACGGCGAGCACGTTTGGCGCTCGCCCACGTACGCTCCACACAAGTCCGGTGCCAATTGGTACGAGTCAAGTTAGCGTTATGCGCATTGCGTGGCATGCCTCAGTGTGAGCACTCGATTGATCAAGTAAAACTATACGAAGCGGATGCGCCGTATTAAGGGCCAGTGTGGAATCCTAGAACGTATGAGTGCTACGCCAATTGCGAAGCATCTCGAGATCTTCATTGCGCCCTCAGTAGAGTCGTGTATACATGGCAGTCTAGTGCATTATTGGCGTATGATCAAGAAGCGGATTCGGAAAATAAGAGACATTTGTACCAATATATACCAATCTTCGAGAATTGTGGGGACTTTTAGGTCTTGCTACGCTTCGCGGGCCTATCGCAAGGTGAGGGGCTGCTGCCAGACGAGGAGCTACGGCAGCGTTTCTTGCCCATCGACACTATATCCTTCGGGGGGACATAGCCGTGCTTAGGCTCCCTATCGTGGCAACGGTCCAAGGGGGACCACTCCTTCTCCAGCGCCTTGGCAATCTCGTACAGCATAGGCTCATGGCTCTTTAGATTCTTGGCGAGCTGCTCGAGTTCCGTTCTATAACGCTTTTCTCTCTCTCGTTCCTCCCGGCGCTGCCGCTTCTGTCGATCGAGACGTGTTTCCCCGAGCACGGGCGGCTCTGTATAGGAGGGCTCCGGAGATGGTGGTGGTTGCAAACCGGTTAGGTCGGGCTTCATCGTGCGTGCGCCCGGGATTGCTTGTACGGGGCATATTTCATGACGCGGGCCTTGAGTCGCCGCGAAACCGTCAACCCAGGCTGCCCGGCGTTAATCGTGGGCGCAGGCAAGCTGTCAAACCCATGTCCGTGGGGCTCTTGGCCCATCGGATGAATGGACGCGAATCTGATCATTAGGCGCCTACCACAGTCGTCGCAAGGATCGCTGAAGCTGCGACATACCGGCATTCTAGAGGGCATGAGTCGTTTCACCTTCCGGTTGTGCTGCTGTTCCGGCAGCCGTCAGATCGCGTCTTCGTCCGCGTGTCAGGTTCGCGAGTGGGAAGCTGGTCTGCTGAACGTTCAGTTCGTGCTCGGGTTCCGCTTCGTCACTGTCGTTTCTGCGTCTGCGGGGGAGGGGCATGGCGCGAGGCCGGCGAGGCATCCGTTCGCGGCGGAGCGTCGAATCTCCGCACATATAGTACCCTTGCCTGCGGACGCCCCTGTCAGACGGTTAGCGCGAGTAGTTATGCGAGGGAAAGTCACCTCACCGTGTACCACAGTCTAGCTAGCACACAGTGTACGTCATCTCGCCGCATCAACGCTCGACGTCGGCGATCGTGAGCGGCGAGTCCAACACAATCAAGCCTGTGAGGGACGGGGATCAGCGCTCACCCCGTACATTCAAATTGTCTATGCCAGATGTTGAGGCTACGAATCCAAACCTTCACACTCCACCCATTGAAAAGGTTGGGGACTAGATACCCAAGATTTGGACGTACTGAACTTTATTAATACCTCATTAGCATGATTCGCCCGGAGTGGGATGTTGTAGGATGCTGTCCAGGCCGCGGCGATATCGCAGTATTGGCACAGTACTGACCTGAACGAGTTCGCGGCGTTGGGTACGGGTAGGTGTAGGAAGATTTTCCCAATAGCCAGGGGTGAAGTGCGGATATAATAAAGTCGCACCGGTCTTCACATACCACATATGATTACAGCGTAGATTGCGCGATTCGCACTCACCTATAGGATAAAACCTGCACGATTTGGGAATACTCCACGCTCGCGCGCTCGAACTTGTAGACGTGGACACCCGGGGTGTATTTTGGCTTCACCGCGTCCACGAGCTAGTAGGTCTCCCGGGAGTGTCACGTCGCACCCTTCAGACGGTAGTAACTAGCTGTAGCATGTCTAGCCGTCGTCGGAGTATCATACTATCATGAGCATGGAGAGGTTCACAGCAAGACATGGACGGAAGTGATAGACATGACAAGTCGTGTTGCCTTGACGCGTCAGAGAGCCAGAGACGAGGCTGGTGCAGGCCAGCAAATGCGAGTGACGGTAGGAGAGAGAGAGCGAATTCGAACAGACATGCTCAACGGCGGGCGAGCGCTAAGCGCTGCTGATGACCTTGAGCGCTTAGAGATCGACACTCACCCCAAGTCCGCGACGTCGACTCAGACGGCCTTCAACTTCTCTCTAGCTCACTGCTTTCCTTGAGGTATCATATAGTTCAAGATGTTGTGTTTTCCCGTTCATGGTGAGCGGCTCCGCCCGGCCCGGTGCTTTCCGTTTTCGTTCCGGCCGCCCGCTCGTATATATACCGCGTAGATACAGCTTGTACCTCACGCGTTTGCAACGAGACTCCCCCGTTCGCCCCGTCTCCAGGCAAACCGCCCTCTGTGTACGCCCTCCTCGAGCTCCGAATTCCACACAAGACGCTTTTTCGATGCCGGCTACTGACGCTGTCGATGATATACTTAATTCTGCCCCACTCGCTCTTACCATGGACGGCGGTGCAAGGCGAACATGCCAGCAATGCGGAAAACACTTCAAGTTCTGATCATGACGCTCCAGCGCTACGGTGCGCGGGTACTACTTATTATTGCAGCTCATCTCGCATTGATAGAGTCCAGAATAATGAGATTGCTCGATCCGGTGAGAGCTCTTTCTAGTGTAAGTAGTACTGGCAAAGTTCGCGTGTCCTCGTACTAAGTACACGGCCTGGCTGTACTCGGTGTCAGTGGGGTTTTCTCGACTGGTAAGCCTGCTTTTATCGAAAGCTGTGTACTGATTGCTGACTGTGGGACGAGCACTCAGGCTATGATGCATCGCACGCTACATAAAGGACATGGCGCCGGGCCCGAGACAAGAACATCCACAGAAACACGTCAAAGAGAAAGCAGCCTGATACAAGAGTGATTCACAGAGACGTCCCAAGTTACGCGATACCCTCTCCCTCGGTGTCGGCGTCGCTGCCTGGTCCTATGCCACCTACGAAGTCAGATCAGGTCGGTCAATGCACAACAAGCTACACGCACATTGAGGTGTAGTCAGGGCATCTGGTCGCGCGAGTATCGCGTCTATCTGCGACGACAAGGCTGCATTGCGTACCGAAACCGTAGCCCTTTGGGAGTAGAGCAAGAAAGGGGCGAGTTGACGAATGAGACGAGGGGGGAGAAGAAATCTAAACGAGCTGAGTGATCTTACAGTACGAACGCCTGGACATGCTGATGATGGTTCGGCGTCAGGTTCTTCTTCTCGACCCAGACATCGACGAAGACTTGCGCAAGAAGAGTGGACGGGAACTCGATCAGGACATAGGTGTCGCTGCTTGGGTCCCGGGAGACGTCCACTACCGCTTCAAAAAGCGTAGGCAGCGCATCCCATGCCGCGCGAGCGATTGCGCGCACCTCCAAGCGGATGAACGCAGCATCCGCACTCCAGCAAGCCGATCCGAAGCGCACGATCGCGGACAGCCCCGCGGGAGCGTGGGCTGGGGCGGTACCGCGACCGGCGACGGGTTCTCTGCCAGTAGCCATCGTGGGGCGGGGCCTCTTGGGCGCGCGGGTGTCCGTCAAGTCTCCCTGCGTGCGGGTGCGCTCGTTGGGGGACGTGTGAGCGGAGGAGGGTAAGGTCGTCCCGGACGGAAAGTCTTGATCCTCGAGGATCGGGGACACAGAGGGTGCGTCTCCGAGGGACGCCCGAGTTTTCGTAGTCTGCGGAGCGGTTGACGTCGCAATAGGGACACGAGGCGTGATCATACCACGGACGTCCTGGGTGTCCTGCGAGGGCGTTGTCGCGGGGCCCCGAAGCTCGCCGAAGCGATCGCGGAGGAGCTCAGGCGCACACTCGGTGACCATGCTCGTGCTGGTGCAGACGACAGGCTCGCGGATATCCTTGCCGACATTCACCAGGCGACGCCCAATGTCGTTGATCTTGCGCTCGGCGCTGTTCTCGGGGGCCTCAGCGTCCTCGGGGAGGATTCCGACACGTTCGTCGGCAATGCTGGCTGCACTGTGCGTTTCTGCGACATGCCCAGGCAAGGATTCTGGGATGGACTCGACTCCGACTCCGGATTCTGAGAGACGGAGGGGAAGGCTTGAGGCCTGTCGATGTTCGAAAGCCTGGTCGCGCTCCTCGAGCACGGTCTCGACAGGCTCCACCGCGACGTCGCCTCTGAGGGCGGGGGTGTTCGCCTCATCCGTGTCCTCCTTGTCCAGACTCCGCGAAGACTCGAGTGAGGCATGTATAGTCAGCGCCGTCTCGCCTGAAGCAGTGGCCTTTGGGTCTGGTGAGGCAGGGGAGAAGGTTACTGCGCAGCTCTTTCCCTTTTCCTTGGAGGGGGCCACAGCAGGAATGGGGGTTGCCTTCGGCTCTTGTACTTCTGCGTCGCTGGTCTTTGACGGACCGTTCGACGGACGAACATCCCCGGCGGCGTTGGGACCTGAAATGTACCGAAGAACATGCCAAGTGAGCAAACATAATATGCGTCTACGATATGAGCACACTGAGTGCGTACCTTGCTCTGCAGGCAGGTCCTCGAGTCTCGCGAGGACAGTTGCCATTTGGGTCGACAGGCGGGCATTCTCCGCTTCCATCACGGTGTTGCGAGACGCGAGACATTCCAACTGGGTGCTCATCGCGGAGATTCTCGTTCGCAGGGCGTCGTTCTCGCGTCGCCACGCGTCGTGATCCTCAGGCTCGCGGCCCGCGTTAAGGGCCCCCGGATCCTCCGAGGCGAGCTCCTGGACGTCTTGCGGATGCGCCGAGGAGGATGGGGCAAGAGACTTTGAAGAGGGGTGTCCGTCTTTCGAATTCGCATTGCTCGAGGAATTTAGGTGCGAAGCATAAGGTTCCGGTGCCCGTGCGACGAGCGATGTCTGTCGGTTTGCCTGAATCCAGGCAGCATCTAGGCGAAGCTCGTAGAGAATTGTATCTTGCTATGGGCTCATGGATTAGCTTTAACATACGCCTCGGTGGTCCTGAAGCACTTACTGCTGCCCTGAGTCGTAACTCCTCGTCTGTTGCACGCCTGGCTCTTGGGGTGCCGTCTGCGCCCACCTCTCCGGAATCCATCTCCGAAACAACGGTGTCCATGTTTGCACCATCCGTCGACTTTGAAAGAACGCGGACCAAGGGCTCTGGAGAGGCTGTGGGTAATGCACTGGATAACTCCGTGTCTTGATCAGTGGCGGGGAAATAACCCTCTGCTTCCTTGTCAAACCGAGACGGCGCAGCGTACGAGCTCCGGTGTCCAGGCAGCGAGATTCGGCCAACTTCCGTCGGGGATGGCCGGGTCTTGTAGGGTGATTTTCTGTCCCACATGAAAGGCGCATCCGGCAAGCTTTCGCGTGGAACGAACTGTGTAGGTCATATCGTGACTCTTCAGATGAAAGTCATTCCGGATAGGTACGCTATATACTCACCGTCGAGGACGTTGCAAAGCCTGCGGAGGAAAGGTGCACCTCGGTGTCCTCGTGTGAGTCGCCAGATTGTGACACTTCCTGATCCTCCTGTGAATCGTTGAAGGAATAGGGCTGTCCATGATACCAGAATAGGCGGTCCTTCTGTAACCAGAATGTGCGCTTCTCGGAGAGGTCTATATACAGCCACATGTAGTTCGGGTGCAAAGTATCTGAGTCGTCCAAAAAGGGCCTCACTGAGATCTCCAAGGACCGAGAAGTGAACTGGGGACCTTGGCCACATTTCGGAGGATCAGAAGAGACTACGCAGCGAAATGGTACGTCACCGGGGAGCCATTGTGTTGTAGTCATTGTGGGGCCCAGGAGTGTCCGCCGATTATGATAGAAGCAGTAGTCCTCGTTCCCCCACATGGAAGCGGCCATCATGACGATAGAATGATCAGCCACTTCGGGGGAAGTGGTGTTCGAATGGAATCGGGAGGGAGACTCAGCATTATTGATTGGGACGCCGAGGAAGTTCACGACATAGAAATCGACCGTTCTCCAGTTTTGCGAAGCCTCCTTCTTGATGACCAGAGTGATCTCGATGGTCTGCGTGCATCCATGGCCAGAAGCAACGTCCCCGCTAGGGTACGCAAGAACGATCTTCACGGATAACTCCTGCTCCGAGTACCGTACAACCCGTGGCATATGGGACGAGACAGAGAAGCCAAGCGAAGATAACACCTTGAGGCAACGAGGGGCAATCCGAAATACAATGTCGTCCTCATGATGACCCTGCCAGAGAGCGAGGTCCCACGTACTACTTCGGTATGTCTTGTGATGGCGGCTGCGAGGAGACTCGGTGATTTCGTAGGTAGTCAAGAGGTGTAGCTCGGAGGCAGCGGGCGTGGTGCGCGACAGAAGCTCCAGCAACGCATTTCCCCTCAGGTAATAGAGGCGGTTCCAGCACCCCTCATGTCTCGGATTCTTGCAATGATGGACAGCCTCAACATAGCTCCCACGCCCAAGACAGGTCCCTTCACCCGTTGGAAGGGCGTGCTGGATAGGGAGGATGATAAGGGTTCCATCTCTCCGGTCTTGACACTGCAAGAGGGCGAAAAGCATGCCAGGCATGGACATGAGGGTTTCTCTGTACTCGGAGCATGGCGTGGGGGAATCTGCGCAGGTGATTGTGTCCAGAGCGTGCATCGGGAGATATGTAGACTGGACAGTCAGAAGGTCCATACGAGCACCCTGGGGAGTGAAGACGCAGAGGAGCTGGGGAACATCTTCAGTAGACTCGAGGTGTAGACGTGATGCGAAACTGCTGCGTGTGATTGGAATTGTGTCGCCGCAGTTCATGAAAAATATGGGATGAGGCGCAAACAGACCAAAATGGAAGTCCCGAAATCTTTCAGCAAGACGGTCTATTGGACGGTAATGTTCTGCACGCCAAGCGAAGATACTTTGATCGGGGATGGTCCTGACGATTTCCTCCTGGAGACGGAGGAACGCGTGCAACCCCTCGCCGTAGATCGGAGACATATGGACGCCGAAAATTCCCATGAGCGAGTACGCGGTGTCCTCGATGCGCGTCGCCTCTCGTTTAGCAGCCCATGACATCCTCCGCGCCACACTGGCCAAGTCCACCGATTCAAGACTGGTGAGGATCTCGAAGTCGACCCCAGTGATCTCCTCCAGCGTCCTCGCAAGTCCCGTCTTCGTACTCAAGAAACGCAATGTCTGCGTCAGAAACTCCACGTGCCTGGGCGCGATGAGCTCCTGCAGTGTCCAGCAGCGGGTGTGCCACCTGCTCCTTCGGAAGGCCGAATCCGGTGCCCCGGGGTCATCGCCGTCGGGAACGTCTGAGAGGTAGACGTAGCATGCGTCCGATAGCCGGTACCACTCGAACATCGAGTTGATCGCCTCGGAGAGCTCAGCGCTGCTCGTCTTGTCGATGCAGCACGAGTCGATCCATATGAGTCGAAACCCGGCGTCGCGCGCGACCTTGCAGATCCCCTTGATCTTGTCTGAGAGCTCGGGATGTGCGAAGATGGTGCCGTAGGGGTCGTATTCGAGGTGCGCTATGTTGGAGATAGAAGGCCGGGGGTTTCCTCGCCCTTTGCGTATGGTGGCTTGGAGCTTGCAGACGTCGTCGTAGGATTGCTCGCCGCCCTGCTCAGGGAGAAGCCAAGTGTGAGACAGAATGGCGTAACGGACCTCGCTCGGATCTGCGTGCCATTCAAACACACCCGTCCAGACGTTCAAGAAGCGTGGCATGCTGTGATTCATCCCCGTTGCATTTCAGCGACTTGTGCTCCACGCACACACTTCATTTGGTGCTCACCTTCCTGCCGAACGTCGACAGAATAACCACGGACAGACTCTGAGTGACTGGGGACGTGCAGGGGATGGGGGGAAGTGGGGAAGGGCTGACAGCGTGCCCGATACGCGTTTGAAGCATCTAGAAACTGAAGTCATGGTATTTGTACACCTCGAGAAACGCCCGTGTACAGCCCGCATCACATCTCCTTCCCCTATACAAAGTTCTGTCAAATACGACGCGAGGTGTGCACCGCCTAGATCCCGCTGGCTGGTAGCTGTACGACTCAGGCGGGGGTGCATGCTATGCCAGCGACGCAGATGTCCTGCCTTCACAAGCTTCTGCAGGTGAGCGTGGGGTTTCTCGGCGGCGTTCATGCACTTCTTCCATCCATATGTTGTCTCCAGTACCCGCCTCGCGTCCGACGGTAGTTATGGTGCGGGCATCAGAGCACCGCACAGCATGTGGGGAGTGGACTCCGCTGCGGCACGGGATGATGCCTTGACCAAGCAGCGCAATATCCCGTCATGGAGGAACGGGCTATGCTGTCGACCATTCTGGGAATCCGCTGTGCTCTTTGGTGGATATCACCCAGCGGCTTGTCAAGCGGCGCCTGCTCATGATCAGTGTCTTGGCAGGACTGCAGCTAGGACGACACATGAGACGCGGGGCTGGCCGAGCTTCCGACCGTGAGGAGAGCGATCCGTTTGTAACGGCTGTATTTCTGCACATCCAGTCTTTCGGCGGTCATGGCCAGGAACGAATTAATAAAATGACGTGTTCCCGCGTACAAGGATCTTCGTGTCTGCACGCGGCACCGTGGTGAGCATCAACTATGGATCCCGTTACGGAGACGGATGACTCACATTTGCATGCACTAGGCGAGGGTTATCATGGCGAATGTAGAATGTCCACTGCCGATGTAGACGAGGGAAATCATGATAGCAGAGAACGCGCTGATACGTCGACAACGCAATCGTCGGGCGTCGGAGTATTGCGAGGTAGTCAATCCCGCGGCCGCACGTACAGAGAGTGCGGAGAGTCCGTCGTCGCCGTGCCCCCAGAAGAGCCGCAAGGTGCGCGATTTGATCATGATCAGTAAGTAGAACGGCTGATTAACAATGTAGCACAAGTATAGACGTACTCGCGCCATCTAGTCTTGTACGGTGCCATCGCATGTCGCGTAGCTGGATTGATCTAGACGGGGGGCTCGCGCCGTGCCTTCTAACCACACACAAGCACTCACAGATTAGTGTCTATTCTTTCCAGATAAATTGGGCGTACGGGAGGACTCACATAATATCTGTGTGGGCCGGCGGCTCGCGCGACGAGGCAGGTTGGACTATAACAAGCCCTTCCGCGATCACCCTTCCACAGTCAGCGTATGAACAGTTGTACGTGAGAGCTCTACTCACCTTATACCGCAATAGATGAAGGATATGTCACCTCGCTTGCGCCCGGCTTCGGTTATTATGCGTAATTGGCCCGACAGAGATAAGTCTAGACAAGGGAATGCGACAGTTAGCACTCACCCCGTGTATGATTTCTCCTAGATAATAATGGCATTGGCCCAATACCCCGCAGAGTACCCGGAGATTTTGATGAAACCGGCTATAAAGCGAGGTCGGACCACAAAGACCGCACTCTCTGAAGGCATAGTCGAAGTGATGGGAAGGTGAGGGGGAGCGCGCACTTCGCTGCACTGCATTTCCCTCAGGAACGACACGAGGAGACGGCACCGAGTAGATCAGTGGGCGGTGGAACGGGGACAACACGTTACAAAAAAAACCCAGCTTCGTAGAAGTACGTACCTGCGTGCAGCTGTACCACTGCAACAACCTTCCGCATCTCACTGTGCCAAGCACACCTGCGTGCCATGACACGAAGTCCAGAGCACGAATCCAACAGTGCGAGCGATCCGAAGATGTCGGTTTCTGATACTAGTAGTACGCAGTCAACGAGAGACAGAGAGGTGGCGGGCACTGCCAGAGAGCGAATCGACGGACTCGAGGCGGCCTGAGCGAAACTCCAAAGCCGCCCAGCGTTTGATTTTCGGCGCTTGCACCCGATATCGATGACGTCATTTTACTATGGGCTTCCGCGCTGCGGCCGAGGCGCCCGAACCTCTTGTCAACGCGCACTCTCGCGCTACGTTCTGCCACCCAGGAATTCTGCGTCACCTTCGGAATTTTTTGAACGGCTTCACTTCGCAAGCTGTATAGACTCGTGCGAGTCGCTCGACTTGTTCACTCCCCGGATGAAGTCTGTCAGGTCCAGCCCTACGGCATAGGCTTTCGGTGGAACGCGGTAGCACGATGCAGCGCGCGCAAGTGTAAGCATGACGCAGCGTACGTATATAATTGCATGATCGTACCTTGGGACGCGACAGTGAGAGCGTCGAGCTGAGCGAGCACGGTCTCCATTCGAGTTTGCGACGACAGGACAGTGTTTTTGGACGTCCGGTCAGCGACCTGGGAGATGAGAGCGGACGTTTGCGCCCGTAAGGCCTCGTTCTCGCGTCGGTATACATCGAAGCACGCTCGCATTGCACGGGCGATAAGCGGGGTCCAAGATGAAAAGGTGCTCCGACACACTCTGGGGCGACACCATCGACAAGGGAGTCGTTAGAGACCTCGAAACAGCCGCACCGCGTTTCCCGGCTCTACAAATGTATCGCTCGAATGCCTCCGTAGTACCGTGCAGGGGAGTGATTCCGTGGTCTCCCAACCCCCGAAATATGGGATAGCATCGTGCTGATTGTGCGGGGTGTAGAAGAATGTACAATATCCCTGACAGTTCCGAATGTCAGTGCGTAAATTCGAAGAATACCGCCAGAGACGAACAAAAAAGGCGCACCGTTTCCAATCGGGATAACGAGTCAGATACACTTGAAGTCGGAATCAGCGCATTGGTCGCGTCCCAGCATGATCGTCGTTCGCATCGTCAGTGTCGAGGCAAAGCCCGCTGTGCGCGCTTCTTGTGCTTTGGCCAGAAGACACACGGCCGAGATCGGAGGACCGGGACAGCTCTACGCTGTGTACGATGACCAGGCGAGGGCTCTCCCGCTCCTCCACATGGTATTCCTCGAAGAATTCCGCGCCTGAGCTGAAGTACAGTGGTGTTCCGTGGACTTGCGTCGCGGAGACGTCCTCACAAAGCGAGGCTGGATTCGACGTGCGGATCGTAGTCGGATCGGCGGGATCGGAGAGTTGAGAGCGTGTAAAAAATGGGCCGTAAATCCACATGCATCGCAAAATCAGCGCACCGAACGGGTGGTATATCAGAATCGATGACCAGGCACTCACCGCAGGGGTTGCAGGGATTGCTGTGGACGGAGACCAAAGTTCCCCCGGGTGTCAGGCCTTGAATCATTGGGAGAGATGGAACTCGGAGTACCTTATTTGGAGTTGTCGCTGCCTAAAATTGAAAGAATCGGCCTTAAATGGTGGTTGGGTGGACTCGGACAGATCAACGAGGTGTATCGATATGTTTCCTAGATGTCGACAGATATCTACAGGTGACAGGACATTAGTATTCAAAGTGTCCGGATCAATGAGGCGTCCCGGCGTGACACGCAGGAGCCGAGCGGCACCGGGATCATTCTCCCAGTCGGCGTTGGCATACACGACGAGCTCGGCTTCTGCGTCGACGCAGAGCCTCGCATCTGGCGAGTTGAACGTCTGTAGCTCTCCCGCCTCCGCTCCCGCGAACAGAGCTGCGAGTCTGCCTCAGAATGTATGCGGAAGATGGACTGTCCTTCCGAATGATATGAAGCGTACCTGTACGTGCTGATGCGTTATTTGCGCTGCCTATCGAAAGGATTCTGCCGTAGGAACCCGATGCACCGAGGGGTGTAGCGGTTGCTGCAGCTAGATTTTTGTGGGCGAGGGACCTCCTAGCGTATATACGCAGCGGCGTGCCAGCCAGAGCTGTGTCTGCGAATGTCAGTTCTCATGATTGCGTCTGGAAACGCACCACTGCTGAACAGGAGCCTTGCATGGCAGGGGGCAGGGAAGTGAGCCACATGTCGCAGCTATATTGCTACACAAGACGTCCTTCTGCACGGTCGTAGTCAGGAACTGTTGGGAAACCGCGGGCTCGTTGTAGAGTGTGTTCTAGGCCGTATTTACCGTGAGGCCGCTGTAGGCAGGCACGTAGTGAGTCTAATCTGCGGCTCGTATTACTGATCTGCACAACTTACATTTGTGCACACTAGGTTCATTCCAAACCCCTCGGACGTCCACGCGGAACGCGGACGGGTCTTGATATGAGATTATGTACGCACGAGTAATGAATTAATGACAGGGCAAGAACGCCCCCGACGTGAACGAGTCCCTGTTCGGCAGGCGTCGACGTCAGCAGCTCCGAATGAGTACTCCACTAGGGATGCGGACCGAGAGGATAGCGCGTAGAAAGGCTATACGGCCAAGCCTCTGTCCTCTGGCGTGAAGATGGTGGCGCGCAATGTTGGGCCCGGGCCGCGCGTACGAAGAGGTCATCTTGCCACAACCTCGAAACGGTGGACTGAAATTCAGTCGTGTATCTGCATGCCGTCCCTCAGCTATATGCTGTTGAACTTCTGTGTCTACGGCTGTGCCGGACCGGGAGTGGCAGTGATAGTGGCTGTGCGTCTACCATACGCCAGCATGGACTTTCCTACTTACCATATACGTACATTCTTTTGTTCTGTACTTACTTGGCATCCTGCCATCCCTCCATATGATTCTGGTACGTTCTACGATGTTCCGGACTATTCTAGACAGCGTCCGGATTACTCGCATTACTCAGCCATGGACTATCTGACCTTATGTCGATTATGCTCCCTTACTCAGCGTTACTCATCGCTCAGTCAGCGTCCTCTGGACGTCACATGCTCTCTTCTTATACGCTTACTCATCGTCCTCCCCAGTAGTATATAAGGAGGACTCTGCAGGCCTCTGCTCTTCAGTCGTTCTCTCACAGACTGAAGAGTAAGTCCCACACTACCTATGCTTCCTTACATGTTTACTTACTAGTACTTGTAGCCTCTCTTTGTGCGGCTTACAGGTACAGTACTATGCAATCATAGTCGTTCTCTCACAGACTGAAGACCTCTCTTTGTGCGGCTTACAGCCTTCCAGGTT